CGGGTGATATAAGAAAGCAGAGGAACTTGAAGATCATCCATTTCCAGGTAGCTCTGTTTATATAACAATGACATGACCACCGACAGAGGAAACTATTTTTTATCAATATATCATGGAGGTTGGTCCCGACTTGTGTGTTTCTAAAGGCGTGGCTCTCATAATTAACATTGATAGATATAGCGTGATTGAACAAAAATAATTATTAATAGTTGCTGGGCATTTAATGAATTTAAAATTAACTGACAGATAACTACTTTTTTTTAAATTTTGCTTGTTATAGTCTGTAAATAAAATGGAGTAAGAAAATTTTAACTGGTGATACAAGGAATGCTATTCTCCAGCAGCCAGATAGGATGGGACCTTGTTAGCCTTGGACGGCAGCTAATCTAAGAGGAGGCGAACTCTGAATTCAAACGAGGAGCCAGAATGATCAATGCATTGACCGTGGGCCCTTACAAATTATTTTCGAAACATTTAAAAAAAAAAAGTTCAATCTCGATTCCTGGAGTCCAGAATTTTAATCAAATCTACAAGCAACGTCAAAGAATTTTATTTACTTTTTCTTCTTCTTCTTTTTTCAATTACAATGCCGCAGCAAAAATGTTTCAAACACACTCAGTGTATATCTTTCGTGGGCCGGCAAATGAAGTGAACCAACAGCTCCTTAAAAAAGCTGTGTACTCACCTTCCCCCGTCTTCCCCTAATTTACCTGATGGGAGAAAGGTGACTCAACACAACTGTTGGTGCTTATTTTAAAAAAAAAAAAAAAAATCGAAACTCCAAGAACTACATGGCAACTTTAAAACAAGCATAATAAAAACAAATGAAACAACACTTCAATTGTATCATTTCTTTCTTTCTTTTACTCTAATTTTTTTTTTTTAAAACCCTAACAATTAAAAATTTTAAGACCAACCCCTTCTCGCCCCAACCAACAACCTTTAACATTCCCAGGTGTAAGAGAAGTTGTTGCAATCAAACTCTAGCAGGCTTTTCTTTACCTAAGTACGCAGGGGACGTTACCGAACCCATGAAGTGGAGATTACTTTTGGGACCAACATGCAGATAGTTTACCTTGTTCAAATACAGACCGACATTTGGGAGACCGGGTGATCTTTTGTTCAAACTTTGAAAAAAGAACATTGCCCCTGATAATTATTCTCTCCCTTTTTAAAAATATTGTCTATGCGTGCCACCAGATTTTAAAATTAAGATTTTCGTTTGGAATGTTGCAGATATGGAATCCCCATGTGGTACAGAGATGGTTGCCTAGAACATGAATCTGGTAGGTGGAACTGTCTGGTTTGAATCATATTTTCCTCCACTTTTGTTGAAGATACTACAGCACTGCCAACATCTTCAAGGTACTGCAACACTGTCAGGAGAAACAGCATCTTCAAGGTATTGCAACACTGTCGGCAGAAACAGCAACTTCAAGGTACTGCAACGCTGTCAGAAGTAACAGCATCTTCAAGGTACTGCTACGCTGTCAGGAGAAACAGCATATTCAAGTTACTGCAACGCTGTCAGGAGAAACAGCCTCTTCAAGGTGCTGCGGTGCTGTTAGGAGAAACAGCATATTCAAGGTACTACAACACTGTCAGGAAAAACATCATCTTTAAGGTACTACAACACTGTCAGAAGAAACAGCATATTCAAGGTACTACAACACTGTCAGGAGAAACAGCATATTCAAGATACTACAACACTGTCAGGAGAAACAGCATCTTCAAGGTACTACAACACTGTCAGGAGAAACAGCATCTTCAAGGTACTGCAACGCTGTACAGTTATTACATCGGCACTATTCCAGAGCGGCTTAGACATTAGTTAGACGAACTTACACTTATACAAAAAAGTCGACTTCAGTACGAATGAAAACACATTAAAGTATTATTTGGATTTGTTTTTAAGTATCTTTCCAGCTTTCTTTTTATCAGTAGGGGTAATCACTGACCATACAAAAAGCAAGAACCAGTTTTCAGCAACTTTTTTTTCTTCTATCGGCTATTATGGTTGAGGGGTGGTTAAGGTGTGATTGAGGGGTGGTTGAGGGATGGTTAAGGTGTGATTGAGGGGTGGTTAAGGTGTGATTGAGGGGTGGTTAAGGTGTGATTGAGGGGTGGTTAAGGTGTGATTGAGGGGTGGTTGAGGGGTGGTTGAGGGGTGATTGAGGGGTTGTTGAGGGGTGGGTGAGGGGTGGGTGAGGGGTGGTTGAGGGG